TCTTCACAGAAGCAAAGCCCAAACCACACCCACTGCCGTGGAGTCCATTCTGACCCACAGCGCCCCTAGAGGACAGAGTGGAACTGCACCACAGGGTCTCCAAGGCTGTCAATCTTCACAGAAGCGGACTGTCTATCTTTCTCCCATGGACCAGCTGGTGCGTTTAAACTGTGAATCTTCTAGTTAATAGCTGAGTGCTTAACCACTGCACCACCAGGGATCCTTAAGAAATACCCAAACCCAAACCAGCCCTGTTGCTGTCAAGTCAAATGCAACCCTACAGGAACAGGGTAGAATTGCCCTATAGGGTTTCGAAGGCTCATAGACTCTGCAGGGTTCCCCTTGGCTTCCCGCAACCAGGGCTCACACTACAGTCGACAGCAGCCTCAGCTGGGTTCACTCTTGTCTCTGAGCCTATTACAGAGGGCGTGTGTGAGCCCATTTAGAAACATAATTAAAACTTGTTAAAGTTACAGATTGCTAAATACATCTGCTTCCAACACACACACTCTTCCTTCCAAAACCCTCTCTAGAAAGTTATTTTCCTAAACGACAGCTATAAATCCGCTTTGAACTAAATTTTTAATTAGAAGTCAGACATCTGAAAAGCTCCTAGCAAGTTCACGTTTGAAAGGCTGAGTGCCGGGCTTACGTCAGTCTCAAAGGACATGTCTTTTATCACAGTGTTTGCTTCCACCCCAGCCACCTTTCGGAAGACGATCAGCCGGTTACACGCGCAGGCTGGCGGAGCCGGCCCCAACAGGCCCATGCTGGGAGAAGCAGGGCTTCCTTCTTCTGTATTTCTTTTGTTGGTGTTGAGTGTAAGCAGAACTTTTGTGGTAACTGTACGTTAAACCCTCTGTAAACACATACGGGGCTCTGGTGGCACTTTGGTTAAGGCACTGGGCTGCTAACCAGAAGGTCGATGGTTCAAACCCACCAGCTGTTCCATGGGAGGAAGATGACGCAATCTACTTCTGTAAAGATTTACTGCCTTGGAAACCTGAGGGGTTGCTGTGGGTCGAACTGACTTGATGGCAGTGCGTGGGTATAAATACCTTGGAGCCCTGGGGACACAGTGGGGAGGCATTTGGCTGCTAACGGAAAGGCTGGTGGTTAAATCTGCAGCAGCTGACAACCACATCCACCCCTGTGTTCCCCACTTGTCCTCATCTGCTCTTCCCTTTCCAAATTACTGTCTTTTGAGGTGGGGAGAGGGTTCTCCAACCTTCTTACCTATGTTTATTTTATTCTTGTGATCCATGAACTAACTGGACTTCAATGCCCTACAATAACAACAATATACCACGCTCCTGTGGGGGTTTTAGCATAAGTTAGGGGGCAGTGGTTAAGCACTTGGCTGGTGTCCGAAAGGTTAGTGGTTGGAACCCACCAGCCACTCCACAGAAGAAAGATGAAGCAGTCTGCTTCTGTGAAGACTGACAGCCTTGGAGACCCTGTGGGCAGTTCCACTCTGTCCTCTAGGGGCGCTGTGGGTCAGAAT